CCAGCATGATTTCAGGGACGGGAAATCCTGTGTCACAAACCTGATGGAGTTCTATAACAGGGTGACAGCACTAAGACAGGATAGAGAAGGGCTGGTAGATTGCATTTTCTTGGACTACAAGAAGGCGTTTGAGACAGTTCCACACAAGAGACTAGTGCAAAAGCTGGAGGACCAGGCAGGGATTACAGGGAAGGCACTACAGTGGATCAGGGAATACCTGTCAGGAAGCCAACAGCGAGTCATGGTAAATGGCGAGAGGTCAGAGTGGGCGCCTGCGACGAGCGGGGTTCCACAGGAGCCAGTCCTAGGAGGGTGCTGTTTCTGTTATTTGTGAACGACATGGCGGAAGGAATAGACTCCGAAGTGTCCCTGTTTGCAGATGATGTAAAGTTGATGCGAAGAATTCAGTCGGACGGGGACCAGGCAGAACTACGAAGAGTTCTGGACAGGCTGCAGGCCTGGTCCAGCAACTGGCTCCTGGAGTTCAACCCCAGCAAGTGCAAAGGCATGAAGATTGGGGAAGGGCAAAGAAGACCGTAGACGGAGTATAGTCTAGAGGGGCCAAAGAATACAGACCTCACTCAAGGAAAAGGTTCTTGGAGTGAGTATAACACCGAGCACAGTCTGAGGAGCACATCAACAAAATAACTGCTGCAGCATACGGGCGCCTAGCAAACCTAAGAACAACATTCAGACATCTTAAGATATCGTTCAGGGCCCTGTACACTGTTTACGTTAGGCCCATATTGGAATATGCAGCACCAGTCTGGAACCCACACCTAGCCAAGGATGTAAGAAAAACTAGAGAAAGTGCAAAGGTTTGCAACTAGACTGGTCCCAAAGCTAAGGGGTATGTCCTACGAGGAGAGGTTAAGAGAAATCGACCTGACGACATTGGACAGGAGAGATAAGGGGATGTGATAACGGCATACAAAATACTGAGAGGAATCGAAAAGGTGGACAGAGACAGGATGTTCCAGAGATGGAACACAGCAACAAGGGGACACAGTTGGAAGTTGAAGACTCAGATGAATCACAGGGATGTTATGAAGTATTTTTTCAGTCACAGAGTTGTCAGGAAGTGGAATAGTCTGGAAAGTGATGTAGTGGAAGCAGGATCTATACATAGCTTTAAGAAGAGGCATGATAAAGCTCATGGAACATGAAGAGTGACCTAGTAGAGCCCAGCGAAGAGGCGGGGCCAGGAACTGTGACTCGACCCATGCAACCACAACTGAGTACACACACACACACACACACACACACAACCACACATTGCTACTAATACTATTTTCACTACTACTGTTACTACTGCTATTATATCTACTACCACCACCATTTCTACCATAATTATTTATTCTATTACTACTGCTATTTTTACTATTACTATCATTCCTACTGAAAGTTCATCAACTTTCCTCTCTAAGCATTGTCTATTTTGTGAAATCTAAGCTTATTAATTATGTTGTAAAATTGCATAGTTTTGAATTTACTAACAAACAGAGTTCCATTCGATGCATAAGATACTAATGTCAGCCATTAAAGATTGAAGGCGTTTGCAGGCATCTTACTCATTTTCTCAAGAATCCGTTATTAACATGAATGGGCCCATGAGGCCAAGAGTGAGTGAATAGTCACGAGTAACTGTTGCAACTAAGAACTTTCTCCGCCATACTTTCAACTCTGGCCAGGAAATTAACCACTAGTGATCCTCTGTTGATCCCTAAACCTATGCAAAAATCTTCATAGCATGCACTCGAACTCTGCTCACTTGCCTAATAGTATCCTCTCCAAAGTACCATTGTATCCTGCACTGTCCCATCCCCACAAATCTTTCTTGATCTAACTTCAAACAACACCTTTCGTCGCACCGACTGCCGTGCTTACCCGTTTCACTTTAATCCTAAAATAATAAGCATAGGTAATTTCAAGGATCCGTTCATTCCCACCCACATCACAGCTATGAGCTGTCCTCCTCTTAGTTCCACTATACATGAAAGCTGCCCGAATCCACCTGCAGAATCCCCTCCATCTGTAGTGACCTCGTTGATCCATCCTCGTTCTCCCACTGCATACCCAATCCCACAACTCATGCCCAAAACTAAACCACAGACACTCCATATTTTTCTAGCAATAAGAGAGATAAGGTAATAGAGATATCAAATAGTCTCAAAATAGCTTCGTAGTCACATCAGAAAGAATACTGAAATAAAGAATAAGAGAAAAGAGGGAAACAAGAGGTAGAGAGGAGTAAAAAAAAAATCTTTAGGAAATGGGAAAATTATTGAAAGGAAAAATTTAAAACACAGATCAAGCCTTGATTAAAACAACGCTTTACTCAGTGAGAGTTTTATTATGAGCATTAAATTCCTGCTGAACGAATCATTGGTTTAAAATACTTTGAATCTGTGTCTTTGATTTACTGAGTGTTAATTTATTTCATGATCCATTGTTTTCTGTAAAATCAGACAACACTGGAGATGGAGAGAGAGAGAGAGAGAGAGAGAGAGAGAGAGAGAGAGAGAGAGAGAGAGAGAGAGAGAGAGTAGATTATAACTGAATGAAGAACAACGCTGGGGAGATACCAAGAGGGAGAGGGTAGACCATGATGTAATCAGGAACAACACTGAAAAGACGGAGAGGGTAGATCATGACCGAATTAGGAACAACACCGCAGAGATAGAGAGGGGTAGACCATGATTAAATCAGGAAAAAAAATAAGAGATAAAGAGGGTAAGCCATGATTGAATCAGGAACTATTAATAATGGAGAGAGAGAGAGAGAGAGAGAGAGGGTGGACCAAGAAGAAAATGAATAACATTCACTCAAGAAGGAAATAAATAAAGATGCCAATTAACGAATTTGGCAAATCAAAAGCAATGAGACCTGACAATTCATTAACATGGGTTTAGACAAAATCAAGACAGGACCTGTGAAAACTGCTAGCGTAAAATACACCTAAGTGGAGACACAGCAACTGTCAGGAACAATAAAAATATGACGTACTTTCCGCTGTAAATGAGAAGACATTTAAAAGGAATGTGACAGGTATAACGTGAAAGGAAAGATTACGTATCTTTTTTAACACTGATTTTACCTGTACTACGTTACAATGAACATTCACCAGCCTTATCTGTTAAAAATTACACTGTTGTACGAAGGACAAAGTAATACATATTATAAACGGATTAAATATAATACAGTTGATTACAATCAATAGAAAGAATATAAAATTTACGTCTGTCTTCATTTGACACTACGTCAAGTGAAGACAAGCAGGAACTGACTTCATGTAGACACTGGACCATTTCAGGTTAACACTGAGAAAACCGACAGAAAGGAGAAAGCTGTTGCAACATAAACAAATAAACTGCTAATGAGTTGTAACCTTGAAATGTCTAATATAAAAAATTCCAAAGTTCTTAAATCTAGTTTGTGTTTTTGCTACAATTTTAAGTTATTTAGGCTTAAACGGTGATCTGATCATACATTAATTGCTAATGACTTAAAAATTGCAATGAAGATATAAAGTAGAATTGATTTATAAAGCATTCGAGTTTGTATTCTTATGCAGTTCAGCCCTTAATTCAATGACAATCAACACAGATTCATTTTAGACAACACGGCCTGAAGCTGATCCAGATATTTACAAAGAGGGGTGTGCGGGATGATCATGTTTGAGATGCGAGAAGATGGAGCCAGGGGACACTAATGACAGCTAGACACAAATAAACCATTGCGACATTAGGAAGTAAATTTACATTATATACAGATTCAAAAGAAGAAATGATCCTTCTCTACATAAACACACACAATCGTTCCTACAAGTGCTCTTAACAGAAGCGTTAAAAAGGAGGTTTACCAGAGAAGTTGATTTAATATTTTTACCACTCAAATCATAATAGACTTGTATGCTGAAGTTCTGGGAGACAACAGATTCATCACAGCCTGAAAAACTAAAAGAGAATCACAAGAAATGCTTGTAGTACATATCTGCAGAACAATCCAAACTGAGGAACAAGTTAGCTTGGAAAATCTGCCGGTCAAATATCACCTTGACACAGAGAAAGCAGAGCCTAAGTGCCATGAATGTGTATATCAGAGTAAAGAAAAAGGCAAAGAAGCTGTTAAAGAACGACGAAGAACTCTGAATCAAGAGAATTAAAAATTACTCACCCCCCTCATTAGAGGCACTGTGACGCTGGTGACGGGTTCACCATTCCATGACTGCAAGACCTTATCTCACGTTGCAGGAGGAGCAAAAAATTAGGAAACTTTACACACAACACATCTACACAGGTATGGTAGACATGCTGGTAATTATGAAAAGTTTAAGAACAAGAGGACACAGATGGATGCCACACACACAATATATATACAGCATTTTTAATTTTTTTCACTGCTTAATCGCTAATTAGCGGCTCAAACAGTCTAGATCGTAATAAAGAAGAGACTGAACCAGCATATCGGTTCATTAATACGAAAAGTGAAATCACGTTAGGGAACGAATGAGCTAAAGCTCAACACCCACAAACTCAAACAGATAATTGCAAATAGGTATTGAAGACGCACAAGCAAGCACAAACAAACGTACGTACACAAATAAAGCTTATTTGATAATATTTATGAAAGAAATCGGTTGTTGCATGGAATGAGCTGAGAGACGATTGTCTGCTAAAACAAATGTAAAAACTCAACACCACGATTGTGAGCTCTTGCGGTAACTGAAAATAGATTTTCACTCACCCACCCAGGTACACATGACGAAACTGTAAACACTTGCAGGTGCCAGTGCGCGCGCGCACACACACCTACCCACACCCAGACACACACACACCCACAGGATTATATCGTTCTCTCGTTTCCTTTTTCCCCCTGCGAGAGAGAGCGGGGGGGGGAGGGGAGGAAGGAGTGAGAAAGGGATGAGACTGGGGAAAGTAGAGAGCAAAAGAGTACTAGCTAGCCAGTCGGCTAGTGGTGGAGAGGGAGAGAGTACCTACCCCATGGCACTGCGGTAGGTGGTACCCAGGATAGAGGTGATGAGTGCCCGACCGTCGTGAGGGTCTCCGCCAATTCTCAGTGTTTCATTGAGAGCACGGGCGTACACATGCACGGCGTCGTACAGGTACGCTGCCTCCGCACGGATCTGAGGAGTAAGCACAAGACGTCACTGGAAAACTGTCATTGGTTAAGCAAAAAGTTAATGTGGCAAAAAAATAGACGGAACGCATGTTAGCAGGGTAAGAAATACAGGTGTTAGGAATGTGAAGGTTTGAAGTGTGGGAGTTAGAAGTGTGAGATTAGAAGTGTAGGGGTTAGAAACTTTTGGGCTAGAGGTGTGCCGGTTAAAGTGTGAAGGTTAGAATTGTGTAGACTTCAAGTGCGCTGTTTAGGCGTATGAAGAGAACCTAATGACCTTAGAAAAGGGAACGATTATGAAACAGTTAATTACAGTGTGAGAGATATACAAAGAATTTCAGAGGGCAGAGAAGGTCAACCTGCTTGAGCCAGGAAGCATAAGTGTGTGGAAGCACAGATAAAGGCTCAGAGTACACTTAAGCCACTGGGACAGTTAGGAAATAATTATTCAACTCAAGGTGTTGGAGGCAAACTCTATATGAAATAAAGGTATGATAGAACCCAAGAGATTAGCAGCCATTGGTGGTGGTTACTTGTGATTGAATGGGTTTGCAGATTATTTAAAGTAACGAGAAGAATAAGAACAGGAGAGGACAATGATCAACTCCAGAAAGACAGCAACGCGTTACAAATACCGTCAAGGAAGTGGTTTCTCAAGTACTTTCTAAATAAATGTAAACTGCAGTAGGTAAAGACATCTGTCTTTTCCAAACTGGAGGAGGCTTCGCACTAATGTCCAGATATACGCACACATAATATCTCAAAATTTATGCATATATTTAATGCACATCAGTGATATTTTTATTTATTAATGAACTAAACCTAAATAATGTTAAACCACTGTCTTCACACAGACTTAGTGTCACCACACCATATCTCATGGCCTCTTCAACTGGAGTGAACAAGACAAGAGTTAACTCTCACCATGAAGAGGAATCACCTGAGTTAACTCTCACCATGAAGAGGAATCACCTGAGTTAACTCTCACCATGAAGAGGAATCACCTGACCTTGATAGAACCACGGAAAGGAATCACTGTGTGAAGACAGTGGTTTAACATTATTTTTAGTTCATTAATAAATTATAAAATTATCCCTGATGTGCATTAAATATATGCATAAATTTTGAGATATAGTTAATGCACTGTTCCTCTCTCCTGACGACCATCTCTCTACAGCTAGGAAGATCCAATTTAGCCGCTGCATAATACTTCATCACAACATGATACACCTGGGTTTCAAAGCAATTTTGGTAAGCTTGATGCAGCTCGTCATTTGAAGTGTAGTTCACGTATGGCCAGATTGACGTCACTGACGACCTCCTGTAGCATCGTTGCTTACTTACCTGTCGCTCCTTGCCTACTCTTTCGTTACTGTAACAACAAATGTTCACTACTCCTATATACGTTAATTTATTAGTATGTTAATGTAGATGAGTATCCTTTGGTTTACTTTCAATGTTGCTGTCTTGCTTTGTTATGAAGATAATTTCATAGACTATTATGAAACTGGGCCGCCGGAGTGTTGGCCCTTGGAACAACCTCCAGGTAGGTAAACAAACTAACTTGGCTGGAACGATAACCTTGGAAGCTACTGAAGTCTCTCGTCTCACGTTGACAGTCTCCATCACCAAATGTCGGAATACAAGAAAACAAAGCCAGTTGTATATTCCATTATGTAACAATCATTTTAATTAGGATAGCAGCAAACTACTGATATATCCAATTTTGAAAAATTAAAATAATGATTATATTTTCATCAGCTCTCCTTCCTCCTATATTCTTCCATTCCTTATCCGTCCGTCTGTCTGTCTGTCTCTCTCTCCCTATTAATGTCCCAGCTCTCGTTTCTCTTCCTCCACTCCCATCCCTTCCCCCTTCCTCATCACTCTTTAAACCCGCACTCCCTATTCTTTTTCCTCTCTCCCTCTCCCTCGTCCCACTGTTTCTCCTCCACTGTTTCTCCTCCACTGTTTCTCCTCCACTGTTTCTCCTCCACTGTTTCTCCCCCTACTGTTTCTCCCCCTACTGTTTCTCCTCCCACTCTCCTCTCTCCCTCAGTTTCTCCTCCCACTCTCCTCTCTCCCTCGCTACCACCACATGCTCTGGTAACTCCGTCAACGAGATCATTAAGAGTAACTCAGTTGTTGTTGAAAAGCATCAAAGAGCCTGACCATGCATGTCTCCTATAATTTTTTTCCTCTGTGTAGTCGTTCATCGTACCAACCTTGTTGCAGTACATTTACTGCACAAGCATTACAGTAGCTTATTCAATATACCAACAACATAGCAACGGGTTCGTTGTACTACGATTATTGTAATTGGCTCTTTGTACCTGTATTGTAGTAGGTTGTTCTTCGTACCAGCCTAGTATTACCTTGCTCTTTGTATCAACGTTCTTGTAGTTTGTTCTTTGTCCCAATATTGTAGTAGCTTTTTCTTTGTCCCAACATTGTAGTAGTTTGTTCCTTATACCAGTATAGTAGTAGCTTGTTCTTTATTCCAGTATAGTAGTAGCTTGTTCTTTATTCCAGTATAGTAGTAGCTTGTTCTTTATATCAGTATAGTAGTAGCTTGTTCTTTATTCCAGTATAGTAGTAGCTTGTTCTTTATATCAGTATAGTAGTAGCTTGTTCTTTATACCAGTATAGTAGTAGCTTGTTCTTTATATCAGTATAGTAGTAGCTTGTTCTTTATACCAGTATAGTAGTAGCTTGTTCTTTATACCAGTATAGTAGTAGCTTGTTCTTTATATCAGTATAGTAGTAGCTTGTTCTTTATACCAGTATAGTAGTAGCTTGTTCTTTATTCCAGCATAGTAGTAGCTTGTTCTTTATACCAGTATAGTAGTAGCTTGTTCTTTATACCAGTATAGTAGTAGCTTGTTCTTTATATCAGTATAGTAGTAGCTTGTTCTTTATACCAGTATAGTAGTAGCTTGTTCTTTATATCAGTATAGTAGTAGCTTGTTCTTTATACCAGTATAGTAGTAGCTTGTTCTTTATATCAGTATAGTAGTAGCTTGTTCTTTATATCAGTATAGTAGTAGCTTGTTCTTTATATCAGTATAGTAGTAGCTTGTTCTTTATACCAGTATAGTAGTAGCTTGTTCTTTATACCAGTATAGTAGTAGCTTGTTCTTTATATCAGTATAGTAGTAGCTTGTTCTTTATACCAGTATAGTAGTAGCTTGTTCTTTATACCAGTATAGTAGTAGCTTGTTCTTTATTCCAGCATAGTAGTAGCTTGTTCTTTATACCAGTATAGTAGTAGCTTGCTCTTTATATCAGTATAGTAGTAACTTGTTCTTTGTACACTATTATAGTTGCTGGTTTTTGTATCAGCATTATAACAGATTTTTAATTTGTACCAACATTACAGCATTATAAACACGGCAGACGACTGGCTTGGCTTACTACTAGGCTACTGGTTTGACTGGCTTGGCTTACTACTAGGCTACTGGTTCGACTGGCTTGCTTAATATGCATGAACTTGTAACCACTCCTCGAAAGTTCTGCAAATAAGCCACATATACATTGTAGAGGTGTGGAGATAGCTGGAGTTAACTGGTTAAGCTGAGGTGTCCCGTGGCCTGGTGACTAAAGCTCTCGCTTCTCACGGTTATGTCCGGGTTAGAGTCCCGGCGAGGGTAGAAACATTGGGCGTGTTTCCTTACACCGGTTGTCTATGTTCACCCATCAGTAAAATGGGTACCTGGGTGTTAGTCGACTGGTGAGAGTCGCATTCTGGGACAAAACTAACCTAATTTGCCCGAAATCCTCTGCATAACAAGCGGTTTTCTATATAGTATTATGTCACTGTCAGCTAGGCCTGTATACTTTGCACTTATAGAAATAAAGATATTAAATACTATTATTAAATATTAAGCTGTCCACTGGCTTGCTGAGTACACTCCACTGGTATTTAAATATCAAATTTACGTATACACCGTTGGCACCACTTGTAAGGGTTCAGAGGATGGAGTGATAGTGAATGATAAACTCACTGTGCTTGTTATACAGTAGTATGTTGAGTATATACGTGGTTGGAGGTCCAGCCTGTCTCCTCATGTCTTGACTGCCTGAGGGTACGTGTTTCACTGCCTGAGTATGCCTTCACTCGACAAAGCCTTACGACGGGACAGCGTCATGGCTAGTAAGGTTTGAACTATGCTGACATAGCAATATTTGAAACAAGTCTGTGGCATCATGGCTAGCGTATCTGAAATATGATGATAGGTTCAGGATTGCTTTTTATAACAGGTTGTGACAGAACCAACTAGAGGAAACAATCTGCTTGACTTGGTTCTTGCCAACAAAGATTCACTAATTAATAATCTTGAGGTTAATGATGAGCTTGGGGAAAGTTATCACAAATCACTTAGTTTCAATATATCATGGAATTACCCAGATAACTGCAATCAAATCTGTCATAGATTTTCGCTTGGCCGACTTCATGGGACTGAAAAATTACCTGGGTGGCTAAATTGGGATATCCTGACTATGGGTCAGATAGATGATCTTGGTTGCCAGGATGACGTTTTTCAGAGCATAGTTCTAGCTGCCCAGATAACTTTTGTTCCGAGTAGGGAAATTAGATTTAACAAAAATGATCCCAAATGGATGAACAATAGATTAAAACATCTCATTGGTCAAAAGAGAGGCATATATAGGCGTATCAAAAGAGGGGATGGACAATTAAGAAATCAATATATTCAATTAAAGAGAGAAAGAAAGGAATTCTCAATACCTACGGCCTCTCAGTTTTCACCCAGGAAAATACTAGCGATATTCCTGAAATAATAGATTATGTAGAACAGAATGATAATACACTAGGCACGATTGTGGTAACTAGTGACATGGTCCTCAGACAAATAGAGAAACTAAAACCTAACAAATCCCCAGGTCCTGATGAACTGTTTGCAAGGGTGTTAAAGGAATGTAAATAGGAACTTAGTATACCTTTGGCTAATCTTTTTAACATATCACTACAAACTGGCATAGTGCCTGATAAGTGGAAAATGGCAAATGTAAAACCTATTTACAAGGTAGGTGACAGGTCCTTGGCTTCGAACTATAGACCAATAAGCCTTACCTCCATAGTGGGAAAATTTATGGAATCAATAATTGCCGAAGCAGTTCGTAGCCATCTTGATAGGCAAAGACTAATTAATGAATCTCATCACGGTATTACAAAGGTGTGTTCCTGTCTTACGAATTTACTAACTTTTTTCACTAAGGTGTTTGAGGAGGTAGATCATGGTAATGAATATGATATTGTGTATATGAACTTCAGTAAGGCTTTCGATAGAGTTTCACACCAGAGGCTATTGAGGAAACTTAAGGCACACGGAATATTTGGAGAATCTTTTTCCTGGGTAGAGGCATGGCCGACAAATAGGCAGCAGAGAGTTTGCATAAATGGGGAGAAATCAGAATGGGGGCACGTCACAAGCGGTGTTCCTCAGGGGTCAGTGTTGGCCCCGTTGTTGTTCACAATTTACATAAACAAAATAGATGAGGGAATAAATAGCGACATAAGCAAATTTCCTGATGACACTAAAATAGGCCGTTCAATTCATTCTAATAAGGATACTAGAGCATTTCAGGATGATCCGAATAGACTGATGCAATGGTCGGAGAAGTGGCAGATGCAGTTTAATATTGACAAATGCAAAGTTCTAAATGTTGGACAGGTAAGTAACCATGCCACATATAAACTAAATAATGTAGATCTTAATACTACTGATTGCGAAAAGTAATCTAAAACCAAGACAACAGTCCATTAGTGTTCGCAATAAAGCTAACAGAATTCTTGGCTTCATATCTAGATGTATAAATAATAGAAGTCCTCAGGTTGTTCTTCAACTCTATATATCCTTGGTTAGGCCTCATTTAGACTATCCTGCTTAGTTCTGGTCACCGTATTACAGAATGGATATAAATGCTCTGGAAAACTTACAGAGGAGGATGACAAAGATGATCCCATGTATCAGAAATCTTCCCTATGAGGATAGACTGAGGGCCCTGAATCTGCACTCTCTCGAAAGGCGTAGAATTAGGGGGGATATGATCGAGGTGTATAAATGGAAAACAGGAACAAATAAAGGGGATGTAAATAGCGTGCTGAA